GGGATGGGGCAGAGCCTGCAGGAATGGACTGGGATGGACTGGGATGGGAATGTCCTGGAGAGCAGCTCCGCCTGCACAAATGACACAGGAAGGGGACTGGGAGTGGACTGGGAACAGCACTGGGAATGGGATTGGGAATGGCACCAGGACAGCACTGGGAATGGGAGCGGGACCCTGAGATGGGCTGCCCGCAGGTGTCACACAGGGACAGGGGGTGGCAGGGGGGTGTGACAGTGACACTGAGGTGACAGTGACTCACCGATGTCCCTGACGGAGTGGCCCCGGGTGTACCTGACCCTGAGATGGGCCTGCACGCAGGTGTCACACAGGGGCTCGGCGCAGTCATCGCAGAACCTCGTGGCCGCCGCGTTGTCTTCGCAGCTGCTGCAGCTCTGAGGACAAGGGACAGGCTGGGCCACCTCCTCCCGGGTAATTAGGGCTAATTAACGCTAACGAGGCTCTACCTGGCGGGGCTCAGGCCCTGCGGTGGCTCCAGCCCCACTGTCCTGCAGGAAGAAGTTGTCCAGGATGTCCCCCAGGGGACACTGGTAGTGGCACACGGGGCACTCGAACACTGCGGGGACAGCGGGGACACGAGGTCAGGGAGGACAGAGGGGACAGGGAGGGCAGAGGGGGTACCAGGGTCACCCCACACCCCCCTCTGTGGCGGCTCGTTACTGGGGGAGGGTCCCCCATTGCTCCCAGTGTCCCCCAGTGCTCCCAGTGTCCCCCAGTGCTCCCAGTGTCCCCCAGTGCCTCCCAGCTCCCCCAGTGCCTCCCAGCTCCCCCAGTCCCCCCTCACCCGCTCCATCTCCGCCGAGGCAGGTCCCGCACACCGAGTGCAGGCAGGGCAGGAGCCGCGGGTCCCGCTGGGGGGTGAGGCGCTCCCGGCAGCGCCCGCAGTGCTCCAGCAGCTCCAGGTGCCCCAAGGGCTCCGCTCGCGGGCCCTTCCCGACCCCTTCCGGGCCCGTCCTGGCCGCCGCCGCCTCAGGGCCCGACATGGTGGCCCGGTCTCCCCTCAGGCCCCTCACGGCTTCCGCTCCCGCCCCCCCCGCCCCGGCCAATCACCGCTCGCTGAGCCTGATGGACAGAGCAGGGGCCAATGAAGGGGGGGGAAGAGAGATTGACGGGGTGAGGGACCAATAGGAGAGGAGCAGGCGGGAGAGAAAGGGCGGGAAGGAGAACGGGCAAATCAGCGGTGGAAGCGCCACAGGGAGGGCGGGGATTGTAGAGAGGTGACCCTTGGCCAATGGGCTTCCGGGCTCGGCGAAGAGGAGGGGCGGGGGCGATGATTGACAGGTCGGGGAATCAATGCGCTGCAGGGCTGGGGAAGGACTGGGAATACTGGGAGCACTGGACGGTACTGGGAGCACTGAGATTACTGGGAGCACTGGACGGCACTGGGAGCACTGAGATTACTGGGGGCACTGAGATTACTGGGAGCACTGGACGGCACTGGGAGCACTGAGATTACTGGGGGCACTGAGATTACTGGGACTGCCGGGGGTACTGGGGGCGTTACTGGGAGGGCCCCGCATGACACTGGGACCAGAGGCTGAGGGGCCCTGAGCACCGGTGGCCCTGGGACAGTGTCCCCTCTTTGTGACCCAGTGTTCCCCGTTATGTCCCCCCCAGTGACTCCAGTGTCCCCCCAGTGTCCCTCCAAGTTCCCTCCTGTCCTCCCCCATGTCCCCTCTGGTGTCCCCCAGTGTCCCCCCGGTCTCCCAAGTCCCCTCCCATTTCCCCAGGTCCCCCCACGTGTCCCCAGTGTCCCCCCTATGCCCCCCTTGTCCCCAGAATCCCCCCCCTCTCCCCAGTGTCCTCCCGTGTTCATTGTCACCCCCAGAGGCCACCAAGACCATTTGAGCCACCCCCCACTGGCCACTGTTTGGGGGGGCAGGAGCCACCTGGGGGGAAGGGACAAGGGGCAGACTCCGTGTCCATCCATGTGTCCATCCCTGTGTCCACCTGTGTGTCCATCTGCGTGTCCATCCCTGTGTCCATCCAAGGCCGGGGTGGGGTCACAGTGACGGAATCAGGGAATGGTTTGGTGGGGGAAAGGACATTCCATAGACACTTCAGGATGGAGCAGCCACAGCTTTTCTGGGAATTCCATGCCAGCCCCTCCCTGCCCTCACAGGGAGGGATTTCTCCCCAGAATCCCACCCAAGTGTCCCCTTTTCCAGCTGGAAGCCATTCCCTGTGTCCTGGCACTCCACGCCTTGTCCAAAGTCCTTCTCCAGCTCTTGGAGCCTATTCAGGCCCTGGAAGGGTGTCTCCAGATCCTTCCCTTCTCCAAGTGGGACACCCCAACTCTCTCCAGCCCCTGGAGCATCTCCTCTGGCCTCAGGGCGCGGCCCATCCATCCAATCCCTGTCTCTCCAGCTCAGTTCCAGGATTTCCTAGGGATCCACCTCAGGTGCTTTGTACAAGTCCAGGTTGATGATGTCATCACCACCCGAAGAGCCCCTGAGCTCCACCGAGGCCATCACCAACCACCTCCTGGTGTCCCACCTGCCCAGCTTCCAGGAGGATTTGCTCCGTGCTCCTGCCGGGTGTTCCCGATTCCCCTGTTCTGTTCCCCTTCTCCTGTCCCTGGGAACGTCCCCGTGGCTCGGCTTCCTCCAGGTTTCACCTCAAACGGGCCTGGAGCCCCAAAATCCACCTTTGAGGAGTTCGGGGGGCAGAGACCCCCCCGGTGCCCCCTCACGCCGTGTGAGCGGGGCCGGCGCCCGCGGCATCAGTCCCCGGCCACGCGGCCATTCCGGCTTCCGGCGGCAGCGGTGGCGGCCCCGGCGGGGGCCCCGGCGGGGGCCCGGGGTGAGAGGCGGCGGCGTGGCGCTCCAGGAGGGTGCGGTGGGAGAAGCCCTTGGTGCAGAGGCGGCACTGGAAGCGCTCGGGGCGGTGGGTTCGCATGTGGACGTTGAGGGAGCTCTTCTGGGTGAAGCGTTTGCAGCAGACGCCGCACTGGAAGGCGCGGACGCCCGTGTGGGTCACCATGTGCTTCAGCAGGTAGTCCCGGAGCGAGAAGGAGCGCCAGCAGATGGAGCACTGGTGGGGCTTCTCACCTGCGGAGAGACAAATGTGGGGCAACACGGGTCAATACGGGGCACGTCTGCGTGAGTGAACGGACCATGGGTCAACGAACCAACATGGGTCAGCATGGCTTAGCATGGGTCAACATGAGTCAACATGGGTCAACGAACCAACATGGGTCAGCATGGCTTAGCATGGGTCAACATGAGTCAACATGGGTCAGCACAGGCCAACATGGGTCAAGAGCAATGCGCGTCCACAAGTCAACCACAGACCGCCATGAGTCAACGCAGATCCTCCCAGGGCACCGAGCCCCCCGCCCTGCCCTCCCTGCCCCCGTTGTGTCCCCCCCACGTCCCCGTGTTCCCCCCGCGCTCACCCGAGTGGATGAACATGTGCTTGGTGTAGTTCTTACGGGAGCTGAAGCTCTTCTGGCAGTGCCCACACTGGTAGGGGGGCTGGGGGCCACGCAGGGGCCCCACTGGGGGCACCGTGGGCACTGGGGGGGCTCCCCCTGCCTCCGTCCCACCCTCGTAGGGTGGCGGCAATGCCGGGGGCGCCCCAAACCCAAACCCATCCCCGCACGGTGCCTCCCGCCCGCGCTCGGCCCCGAACGCGGCGCCGCCGTCGTCGCCGGCCCAGGGCGCCAGGAACGTGTCCGGGAATGCCTCGGGGGCACCGAAAAACGGTGGGTCTGGCGCCGGGAAAGCCGGGAGGGCCGCGCCGGGCGGGACAACACCCTCCTGGGCACCGCCGTCCTCATCTTCCTCTTCCTCCTCCGCCTCCTCCTCCTCCTTGAGCGTCGGCGCGAGGCGCAGTGGCTGCCGCTGCTTCCGGCTGTGGCCGCTCGGCAACGGCTCCGAGAAGTTCTCCAGCTCCGCCGGCGGCCCTGGCGGCAGTTTCTGGGCCGGGGGCATCACGGCGGGGCCGCGGCTCTGCGAGATGATCTGGGTGCACTCGTCGATGACCGTCTTGATCTGCAGCACCGAGGCCGCGGTGAGGATGTGCAGCGCCTCCGACTGTGCCACCACCAGGCTGCCGCTGTACAGGAACTCCACCAGCTGCCGCACGGCCGCCGAGGGCACCACGGGCGGCACCTCGATGGCCGAGTGGCCCAGCAGCAGCTTGTCATGGAAGAAGGGGCTGCCCGCGGCCAGGACGCAGCGGTGGGCGCGCAGCGAGGCCTCGCGGATGCGCACGGTGACGTCGCAGAACTGCCCCGCCACCCGCTGCCCGTTGAGCGTCTCCAGCAGCGAGCGGCTGAAGTTCTGCAGGTGGATGTAGTGAACGGCCTCCGGCATCGCCGCGGGCACACCGGGGGACACTGGGGGCACAGGGGAGCAGGGGGGACACGGGGACACTGGGGGCAAAGGGGGACACCGGGGACACCGGGCTGGAGGGATGGAGGGGACACAGGGATGGAGGGATGGAGAGGATGTCAGAGGCACGGGAATGGAGGGGACAGTGGGGACACGGTGACAGTGACGAGGCCGGCGGTACCTGGGGAAGGAGACACAGGGGTTGGGGACATTCTCCAGGGGGTCATTGAGGGCTGGGGACACCCCGTATGACGTCACCGGGTGCCGCGGACAGCGCCGATGACGTCACGGGGCGGCCGGGAGCAGCGCGCGCGATGTCACCGACCTGTCGCGACACGAGAACCTTCCAGAGCCCTCCAGGACCCCCCAGGACCCCCCAGGAGCCCCCCAGAACCCTCCAAACCGGCTCCTCGCCCGCTCACCGCACTCCCGCCGCCGCCGCTCTCTGACGTCACTTCTGCCGGACCAGACCGGAAGTGAATGCGGATCACAGAGAGGGGCGGGAGCGGCGCCCCCTGGCGGGCCGGAGGATTCCGCGGCATCCACATGTTGGCCCATGTCAATCCATGTTGACCCACGTTGGCCCATGTCAGTCCGTGCTGTTCCGTGTTGACCCACGTTGGCCCCTGTGACTCTGCTCTGCTCTGTGTTGACCCGTGTAGGCCGACCTGAGTCCATTTGTGTCACCCCGTGTCACCCTGTGTCACCTCGTGTCATCCCATGTCATTCCCACTGGGGACACCCCCTATGTGACCCCCCCGACCCCCTGTCCCCCCGACCCCTCCCCTGTGTCACTCACGTGGTGTCACCGTACCCTCCCCTCCCCGTGACGTCACCCCCACACCGTGACATCACCGCTTCTCCCACCCCTGGGTGAGGGCAGGAGGTGACACCCAAATTCCGGGGTGCCCTGAAACCTGTGTCCCCTCGGGCGGGGGTGACACCCAGGGGTGGCACCCGAATTCCAGGGTGCCCTGAGACACCTGAGTCCCCCGGGTGAAGACAGGAGGTGACATTGGGGGTGACATCCGAATTCTGGGGTGTCCTGGGACACCTGAGTCCCGCAGACAAAGGCAGAGGTGACACCCTGAGGTGCCACCCAAATCCGGGGTGCCCCGAGCCCCCCGTGTCCCCCGGGTGAGGGCAGGGGTGACACCCTGGGGTGCCCCGAGGCCCCGATGCCCCCCGGGCAGGGCGGGGGTGGCCCGGGAGCCGCTGGAGCCGAAGGGCCCCGCCCGGGCGATGCCCGGGGGGGCAGGAGGGGGTTGGGGAGGGGGAGGGCGGGCTCTGTGTCCCCGTGTCCCCTCCCGTGGGACCGGCCCGGGGGGAGGGCGGAGGTGCCACTCGCGGGTCCGTCCCGTGCCCGCGGCGGGGGCGGCACCGGCAGAGCCCGGACCGGGACAGGTGAGGGGGGACAGGGAGGCTGGGACCCCCCCGGGTGGGCAGGGGACCCCAAAAACAGGCGGCTGGGAACCCTCAGGGTGGGCAGGGGGTCCTCAGGGGGCCGGACCTTCCCCACCTGCCCCCCCCAAAAGCTGTCGGGGGGTCCTCGCCCGGGGCTGCGGCTGCTTTGGGGGGGCTGTGGTGTTATTGTAGGGTCTCCCCGAGGTCTCTGTTGTTCCAGAGCCTCCCCCCTCATGGTGGACACGGGGGACAGGGGGCGGCGCAGCCCCCCCAGGCTGGCACAGGTGAGTGGGGGGGACTCCCGAGGGATGTGGAGGGGGGAAAGGGAAAGGGGGGGGCCCCCAGGGGGAGGGGGGGAGAATCACCAGTTAATGGGGGGGGACACAGGGATGAGGGGGACACAGGGATGGGCTGTGAGGACCCCCTCCGGTTGATGGGGGGGACACAGGGATGGGAGACCCCCAGGGTACGGGGTGGGACCCCCAGCTGGGGGGATACAGGGATGGGAGGGGGGACCCCGCGGTGATGGGGGACCCCTCGGTACCCGGGGGAGCCCCGAGCCCAATTTGGGGGTCCCAGGGGGTGGAGGAGGGGGGGATTCCGGGCATTTGGGGTCTCCCCGCCCCGTCCCCCCCCCTGGCCCGGGCCCCCCCCCCCCCCCCCCCGGCCCCCCGGCCCCCCCCCATTCCGGGCCCCCCCATTCTCCCCCCCCCCCCCCTCCGGACCCCTGGGAACCCCTAAATCCCTGAGACCCCTCAAATCCCTGGGACCCTCCAACACCTGGGACCCCCGGGATTCCTGAGACCCTCAAATCCCTGGGACCCCCCGACTCGAGGACCCCCCAGATTTTGGGACTCCCTGGACTCTGGGACCCCCTGGATTCCTGGGACCCCCAAATCCCTGGGACCCCCCGGAGTCTGGGATCCCTCAGATATTGGGACTCCCTGGACTCTGGGAGTTCCTGGATTCCTGGGACTCCCCAGAACCCTGGGACCCCCTCGGGACTTTGGGACCCCCCAGATTTTGGTTCCTCCCCCCCAAATGTCCCCCACTCTCCCAGCACCGGCGGGACCTGGAGGAGGAGCTGCGGGACCTCAGCAACCAGGTGGGCGGGGCTTGGGGATGTCAATCACATCGATGGGAGGGGCCTGGGGCTGTCAATCACCCTCAGAGGGTGGGATTGGGGGCTGTCAATCACACTGGTGGGCTGGGCTGGGGCAGCCAATCACATCGGTGGGAGGGGCTTGGGACTGTCCATCACCCTGGGGGTGGGACAAGGAGCTGCCCATCACCCAGATGGGGGCGTGGCCTGTCCCATGTGAGCTGTCAATCACGGTCTTCCCCAATCAGGTGGCGGCGCTGGGGCGGAGCCTGGCGGCAGAGAGAGGGCGTGGCCTGGCAGAGGGCGGGGCCCTGCGAGCGCTGGAAATCGCTGTGGGCGGGGCCCAGGCCCGGATGGGCGGGGCCTGCAGGGCCAGGGACCGGGCCAATGAGAGACTGCGGCTGCAGCAGGTGGGCGAGGCCAGGGGGGGGGGGGGGTGGGGGGGGGCGGGGCCTATGACAGGTGTGGCTGTGGGTGGGGCTAAAGAGGCGTGGTCTGAGGAGTGGCTGGCAAAATGGGGTGGGACTTGGAAAAGTAGGTGGTGCTTTATGGGATGTGGGTGTGGTCAGGGGGAGGGTCTTAAGGGGTGGAGCCTCTGGTGGGGGTGTGGCTGAATTTGGGCTAAATTGGCATGGTCTGAGGGGGCGTGGCCTGGGAGGGGGAGGAGCCTCTGAGAGGGTGGAGGCCTGGTTGAGGTGGGGCTAAAAGGGGGCGTGGTCAGAGGGGGTGTGGCCTGTTCCTGACCCAACCCTGCTTGCAGGAGGCGGGGCAGCTGCTGTGGGCGGAGCTCCAGGCCGCCCGTGCTGCCCGTGCAGGGGCGGAGCTTCGGGCACAGGAGGCGGAGTCACAGTGCCGGGCACGGGGGGAGGAGCTTCAGCAGCTGCGAGAGGTGGGCGGGGCCAAGGGAAAGGGCGGGGCTAATGATAAATGGGCAGGGCTAAAGGACAAAGGGGCCGGGCTAAAGGGCAGGGGGGTGTGGCTAAGGTCCAGTGGGTGGGGCTAAGGTCCAGTGGGTGGGGCTAAGGTCTAGTGGGTGGGGCTGAGGACCAGTGGGCAGGGCTGAGGAACAATGGGCGGGGCTATATCAGCCTATGAGTGGTGCTGGGGTGGTGGGTGTGTCCCCGGTGGGCGTGTCCATGCTAGCCCCGCCCCCAGGCCGTGGAGGAGGCCCGGCAGTGCCGGCGCCAGGCGGAGCAGGAGCGGGACCAAGTGGCCGCTCAGGTGGGACGTGGCCCCCGGCACAGGTGAGTGAGGACACGCCCCTCCCCGGACACGCCCCTTCCTAGACACACCCATTGTGTGTCCCCTACAGCCCCTCCACGTGTCCCCTGTAGTCCCAGGTGTCCCTCTGTCCCGTACTCCCCCATACCCCCCATCCATCCCCTATACCCTCCCATGCCCCCCCATATGTCCTCCCCATAGTCCCCCCCCCCGCTGACCCCCGGGGGCTGCAGGCGGCGCTGGAGGAGCTGCGGGAGCACAACCGGGGGCTGCGGGACCACCTGGGACAGCGGCTGGGACAGGTGGGCACCTGTGGGGCACCTGTGGGGCACCTCTGGGGCACCTCTGGGGACTTGGGAGGGATATGAGGGGATATGGGGATGTGGGAAATGGGATATGGGGATATAGGAAATGGGATATGAGGGTGCTGAGCTCACCTGAGGGTGCTGTGGTCTCACCTGTGGGTGTTGTCTCACCTGCCCAGGTGCAGGAGCTGCGTGAGGCGCTGTCCCTCGCAGGGCAGCGGGCGCGGGAGGCCCAGGGTGCCCAGGCCAGGCTGGCGCGGGAGCAGCGGGAGCTGCAGGAGCGGCTCCTGCGCCCCCCAGTGCCCCCCACGCCCCCCGAGAGCACCCTGAGGAGCCGCTGCCTCCACCTACAGGAGCTGCTGCGCAGGGAGGAGGGGTGAGGGGGGACTGGGGGGGGATTGGGTGGTGCCCACATGGCCTCAGGATGCCCCCAAAGTGGGTTTGGGCAGCCCCAGGGTGGTCTTGGGTGGTCCCGGGTGGCCCCAGGTGATCCAGGTGACCCCAAAGTGGGTTTGGGTAGTCCTGGGTGGTCCCGGGGGGCCCAGGGGTGGTCCCAGTCTGGCTTGAGGTGACCCCAAAGTGGGTTTGGGTGGCCCCAGGGTGGCCCAAGGTGGTCCCCAGACGGTCCCAGGGGGGTCCCCACATGGTCTCAGGGTGAGTGTCAGTGGCTGTGGGTCATTCTGGAGGTGACATGGGGTGACACTGGGTGTCCCTGTGGCCCCCGGGGTGTGGATGGCCCTGTCCCGGGTGCCATGGGGTGCCACTGGGTGTCCCTGTCCCCAGGACCCGGCTGTCCCTGTCGCGGGCCGCGCGTGTCACCGGCCGGCGCCTGCGGGCTCTGGTGGCCGAGGTGGAGGAGCAGCGGCTGCGGGGGGAGAGATACCGGCTGCAGGTGGGGGGCACCTGTCACCCGTGTCGCCTGTGTCACCCGTGTCACCCCTGTCACCCTGTGACCCCACAGCCCCTGTGCCCACCCATGTCCTCCCTGTTCCCGAGTGTCCCCAACTGTCCCCATGTCCCCAGTGTCCCCGTGTCCTGTCCCCCCGTGCCCCCAGGTCCTGTGTCACCGTGTCCCCATGTCCCAATGCCAAATGCCAACCACATGCCCCTGTACCCACACCCCATGTCCCCAGGCTCCACGTCCCCCTATCCCAATGTCCCCAATATCCCCAATGTTCCCAATGTCCCCCCAATGTCCCCAACGTCCCTGGGTGTGTCCCCAATGCCCCTAACATCCCTAACGTCCCCAATGTCCCCAATGTCCCCAATGTCCCCAATGCCCCCAATGTCCCCATGACCCCACTCTCCCCAGTGTCCCCCACGTGTGCAATGTCCCCGATGTCCCCAGTGTCCCCAATGTCCCCAGCGATGTCCCCGTGTCCCCAGGCTCGTGCCAGCGAGGTGGCGGCAGGGCTGGTGGCAGCGCAGGTGGCGGCGGTGGCCGCGGGCACGGCACGGGCACTGGCCCAGGGCCACGTCCTGCGCCGGCAGCTCGACCACGTCGGCGACGGTGCCGCGGCCACGGCGCGGAGTGTGGCCGTGCTCAGGGCCCGGCTCAGGTGGGGACACCTCCCGACACCCATAGACCCCTACAGACCCCTAGAGACACCAAGGGGCACCTACAGACCCCTAGAGACACCCATGGGCACCTATAGACACCTATACACACCCATGGGCACCTACAGGGGGTTATGGGATGGTGGGAGGGGTCTATGGGGTTATGGGGGGGTCTCAGGGGTTATGGGGTGTTGGGGTGCTCTATAGGGGGTTACGGGGGCTCTATGGGGGTTATGGGGTACTGGGAGGGTCCGGGGGGGATGTTCTGGGCTGTCGGGGGGTTCTCCAGGACAGGGGGCTGTCACTCCCCCCCTCCCCCCAGGTGCGACCCCCTGACCGTGTCCCGCACGGTGCGGCGGATGCTGCGGGGGGGTGACAGCGGTGACAGCGGCGACAGTGGCGACAGCGGCGACAGCGACACCCCCCCCACCACCCCCGGCACCCCCCCGCACAGCCCCCGGCCCTGGGGGGGGCTCGGACCCGCCCCCAGCGCTGCGGGAGCCCCTCGAACCCCCCCTTGAGACCCCCCTTGAATGCCCCCTCAAAACCCCTCCCCT